AAATAAGCATGATAGTCAAAACAGCATCAAAAATTTAGTCAGATGATGAAGCTGAGATTTTTGTTTTCTGAAGTGCTTATCTCACTGAAATAAGCATTTTAGTTCAACCAGCGTCCAAAGTTAGGTCCTTTGGTGAAGTTGTGATTTTGACTTCTGAAGTGCTTACCTCACTGAAATAATCATGTTAGTCAAAGCAACATCCAAACTTGAGTCATTTGGTGAAGTTCAGACCTTGGTTTTCTGAAGTGCTTATCTCGCTGAAATAAGCAATTTATTCCAAACAGCATCAAAAGTTGAATCATTTGGTGAAGTTGAGATCGTAGCCTCCTGAAGTGCTTAAATCGCTGAAATAAGCATGTTAGTCAAACCAGCATAAAAAAAAACTTGAGTTACTTGGTGAATTTCTGATTTTCGTTTTCTGAAGTGCTTATCTTACTGAAATAAGTATGTTAATCAAAACATCATGAAAAATTAAGTCATTTGGTGAAAGTTGAGATTTTTGACTTGTGAAGTGCTCATCTCACTCAAATAAGCATGTTAGTCGAACCAACATCAAAACTTGAGGAATGGTGGAGTTCAGATTTTGGGGTTCTGAAGGGCATATCTGAGTGAAATAAGCATGTTAGTCAAAACAGTATCAACATTGAAGTCATTCCGTGAAGTTGAGATTTTTCACTTCTGAATTGCTTATATCACTGAAATAAGCGTTTTAGTCGAATTAGCATCAAAAGTGACGTCCTTTGGTGAAGTTGAGGTTTCAGTCTTCTGATATGCTTATTTCGCTGAAATAAGCATTTTAGTCAAAGCAGCATCAAAAGTTGAGAGACTTGGTGAAATTGAGATTTTGGTCTTCTGATATGTTTATCACGCTGAAAGAAACACGTTATTCAAAACAACATCAAAAGTTGAGTCATTTGGTGAAGTTGAGATTTTGATCCTCTGAAGTGCTTAACTCGCTGAAATAAGCATGTTAGTCAAACGAACAGAAAAAATGTGTCATTTGATGAAGTTCCGATTTTAATCATCTGAAGTGCTTATCTCGCTGAAGTAAGCATTTTAGTCTAACCAGAATCAAAAATCAAATAATTTGGTGAAGTTCAGATTTTTGGCTTCTGAGGTGCTTAACTCGCTGAAATAAGCATTTTAATTTAACCAGCATCAAAAGTTAGGTGTTCTGGTGAAGGTGAGATTGTAGTCTTCTGAATTGTTTATCTCGCTGAAATAAGCACGTCAGTCAAAACAACATCAAAAGTTGAGTCATTTGGGGAAGTTCAGATTTTTGACTTCTGAAATGCTTATCTCACTCAAATAAGCATGTTAGTCAAGACATCATCAAAACTAGAGTCATTTGGTGGTGTTCAGGTTTTGGTGTTCTCAAGAGCTTAACTCGCT